TAATAGTTTGTAAATGCCATCCTGCTTTGAGCAAGCGTAGTGATCAATGCTCATCCGTGTGAGAAGAGGCCCTTTCGCACTGGCTAATAGGAATGTTATGTATTTTTATCTTCTCACTTCTCACACGAAGAAGGTTTGATTATTAATCATCACGCGGGCTCAGGGTGGATTGGCCATTTTAAACTAATAATTGGAAATTATAAGCCCAAGTTTCCTCACGATGTTTTCCTTCACCTATTGTCAGTTATGTCTAAACAATCTTCACTATCATCACTACATAGTATAAAACAGAGTCGCTATCCGCCATCTGTCTGTCCCCATGTATGCTTAGATCTTTAAAACTACGCCACGGATTTTGATGCGGTTTTTTTAATAGATAGAGTGATTCTTAAGGAAGGTTTATAAGTATAATACATGTATATGGCATCCGTGCGAAGCCGGGGCTGGTCGCTAGTATTTCAATAAAGAAGAAATAAAAGAATATTTTTATTTAAGTTATTTCTTGTTCTTGTTGACTGCCTCGTTGGCTGAGTGGCCGTAAATGCGACTGCCGGGCAAGGGGTCTCGGGTTCGATTCCCGGGTCGGGCAAAGTATTACTGGGTTTTTAAATATTCTCAGTAGTAGCACAGAGTCTGGAATTGTGTCCGGTATATGGCAATAGGCTCACCCCCTATTACATGGGACTCATAACATAAATAGTGAAAAGTGGGTGTTACATTGTACAGTGGTATAATGTGCACCTCTGCCTACCCCTTCGGGGATAAAAGGCGTGATGTTATGTGTTATTTCTTGTTCATAACTCTGTTTAATATTTTCCAGGTATGCTTATAATGTAACTAGTAAAGACTGCGTCTCGTTTACTTACGGCGGATGTCAAGCAAATAGAAACAATTTTTTGACGAAGCAAGAATGCAGAGCCACATGTGTTTAACAAGAAACTAAGTTTCTCCCATGTTACATTGGGATCGAATACAATGTTTCTTCATCTTTAATTTCATTCATATCATATTCAGAGTCAAATTCATCGTTTTTTTTTTATAAAGCATTGGCCCCACACTTGGGTTTTGTCCTGTGTCGTGGGTGCCTTTATAAACATACAAGTTCACATACACATATCATGATACCTTTTTTATATTGTTTACTTTGATTAAGTTTTCTTTTTTTATATTTTTTGTAATTGAATTTGATTAATGTATGTAGGTGTCTACCGTGTTAATCAATAAACAAAATAAATAAATAAATTACACCCAGACCCGAAACAACAATTTGAGGATCACATAAAGAGTTGTTCGTTCAGGAATCGAACCCACTACACGTTGCATGGCAGCCGGTTGCCCAGCCACCGCGCTTACTTTGCAGTCGATTATTTATCAGACATTAGATACGTATTTTTTTATTTTTTGCTTTCCACCATATAAATTGATTTGAAATTTCCGTGCGGTAATCGAACCCGCGACACGTTGCGCGGCGGCCAGTCACCACCGCACCAATCGTTAAGTAAAAGCATTTAACACTTTTGGTACGAATTTTATGTCTAACGGCTGAATCACGTAAATGTTTGACGAAGCTAAATTATGAGCCCTTACCGAGGCTTGAAACTGGTCTAGTTACCTCGTCAGACAATTGAGATGATGACAGAACCTAACGGGTAACCGGGGCTCCGGCTCGACGTGCAGGAGAAGGAACGGGGTGGTTTTTAGTCAGTAAGAGTCTGACACTCCCTCCCGGCTCACCCAGGTGGGAGCAGCAATTCGATGATTTTCCCCGCTTAAAAAAAAGGGTATGGAAATTAAAAATCTAATTAGTCCGTAAGTTAGGTAAATAAAAAATATGAGACAAAACGAATCAAAGTTTAGGAGTGGGAGCTAAAACGTCATCATTTGTACGTATATAAAATGTACATAGAAGTGACGTCACGCGACATTTCAAATCAATATTTGAGGTATAGTCGAAAGTATTCGTTTTTATAAGAAAATACAAAATACGTATCTAATGATTTTAAAAAATCTACCAGGCGGACATTAAAATAAAAATTAGGCGTCTGATTTAGACTTTGATTCGTTTTGTCTAAGTATTTTTTTATTATACGACAAAATAAAAAAATACGTGTCAAATATTTTTTCATTATTTAACTTACGGAATTAATTATATTTTTAACTAGCTTCCGCCCGCGACTTCGTACGCGTAATCCCATGTTTACCCGTCCCCGTTCGTAATTTTCGGTAAAAAGTAAAATAAAAATGTTGGTCAAAAAGTATCCTATGTCGGTCTCCTGGCTCTAAGCTACCTCCCTACCAATTTTCAGCCAAATCTTTTCTGCCGTTCTTGAATTATAAGTGGTGTAACTAACACGACTTTCTTTTATATACATATATAGATTTTCATACCCTGTCATCATCCCTAATATGTGTTTTTTTTTTAATTGATCATGAACGTTGTCATAGTATTAAGTGTTTCTTCTGTTTGTGTCAATTATAAGTTTACCTTAAATAGGTTTTTCTTTATAGGAAATTTGTACCTATTTCAGGTGTAGTAAGAACTATTCTCTTGTGCATGATGTGCTAACCTTTCATTGATTGTTACTTTGGCAAATGTATATTGTAAACCGATTTATTGTAATATGAAGTGTAAACAGTCGTTGGCTGACCCCCCTAAATAAATAAATAATAGTGTAATAGTTAAATAACTTATATTATTGTGCATTTTCAAATAAATAAAAAACATTGTGACAGCGATTTTATATACGTATTTTTTATTTTTCCTATTTTTTTTATACCACGACGGTGGCAAAAAAGCACGCGGCCCACCTGATGGTAAGCGGTTACCGTGGCCTATGTACGCCTGCAACACTTGGGGCATTACATGCGTCTTGCCGACCCTTAAAAAACCTATTCACTGCCTTCTTGAAGAACCTCATGTTGTAGCCCACTGGGAAAACCATGGCAGGGAGCTCTTTCCACAATCGGAGGGTCCGTGGGAGAAAATTCCTCTGAAACCGAGTTCGGTTGTACGGGACCATTTTGGCTCCAATGAGTGAGCGTGTCTTTATTGATACAAGTGATAGACACCATCATATAGAAGAATGCATGTGTGTCAGCTTGGAGTTGTCATGCTCACTCAAAAGTCTCATTGGCAGTGGCACGGGCAGTGGATCGCTCGATTCCCTACAATATGGTTGAGTTGGGCGGTGCTGGTGTACGTGTCATGTTCGTGAACGGGCGCTGTCAAATGGGACTGATCGGTTCCAGGCTGTATTAAATTTGTTGTCCTCAAGGTTATTTTCTTTTTCAGTCTCCTTAACCAAATATTGGTATTACATTGTTCTCACATTATTAAACTCGACGAAAGAATGTAACCAAAAATTGTATTGTGACCATGATTGAAATAGAGTAACCTATGGAGTTTCTTGCTCGTTCTTCTCCATAGGAATCTTCACTTTGGAAGGAGCAAATAGCTTCACTAGAGGACTGACCTACAACCTGACATTTTTTCTTATTATTTAATATTTAAATATTTTGTTTTGACGTTCAAATGCGCCTTTCTGGTCTAATTGAAATAAATGATTTTGACTTTGACTTTGACATGAATTTCCTTTTCTTTGGTGTTTTTTGTTTGTAAGTATGCGATAAGCCGGTAAACAAGCGGACGAATCACCCGATAGTAAGCAATCGGCGTCGCCCATGGACACCGGACACGGAGTTTGGAACTGTGCCCGGTATATGGCAAAAGGCTCACCCCCTATTACATGGGACTCATAACATAAATAGTGAAAAGTGGGTGTTACATTGTAGTGACATGTGCAACTCTGCCTACCCCTTCGGGGATAAAAGGCGTGATGTTATGTTAAACGATACGATAAAAAAATCTCATAGTAGCACAGAGTCTAGAAATGTGCTCAGTAAATGGCTATAGACTCACTCACCCCCTATTATATGGGACTCATAACAAAAAATTGGGTGCTACATTGTACAGTGGTATTAAGTGCCGTAATGTGCACCTTTGCCTTCCCCTTCGGGGATAAAAGGCGTGATTTTATATCTATGTTTACATCTTTTTAATGACGAACAGACTTGTGACGTATTTCGAGGGCAGGAAAAGATATAAAAAACTGTGCTCGATAAAATTTGTCGTGGTGGCCCGGAGGTTTAAGACGCCCGCTTCTCATGCATGAGAGTGCGGGTTCGAAACCTACCAACGGCAAGTACCAATGTGACTTTTTCCGAGTTATATGTACTTCCTAAGATTATTTAGACACCACTGACAAACGGTGACGGATAACATCGTGAGGAAACCTGGGCTTATAATTTCTTATTATAAGTTTGTAATCGCCAACCCGCATTGAGCAAGCGTGGTGATTAATGCTCTAACCTTCTCCATGTGAGAAGAGGCTTTGCTCAGCAGTGGGCATTTATAGGCTGTTGATGATGTGCTCGATAAAATTTAAGTACCTGGATAACCGCCCTTTGCTCGGAGTTTTTTTCAGTACACATCTTTATAAAAAAATTGGTTGCCTGTAAAGTCGGTATACGGGCGAAAGTTTTACGTGACAACGACTTTGAGTGGTAAAATAATTTTAATGTGAATATTCATTCGTATAGTAGGAAGAAGGATGAAATAATAGTAACAATTTAAAACATTTATTTATGCAAATAATTATATTTAAAACATTAATTTATACAAAGAAGCAAGACATGAACCGGTGTGTATGCCTATCTCTCTCACTCTCTCTCTCTTGCTCTGTCTCTCTCGCTCTTAGGCGGGCTAACTGTGCTCGAGTGGAAGGGACGCGTGCCTTTCACTTTTTATGTCTGTCTCTCTCGCTCTTAGGCGGACTAACCATGCCCGAGTGGAAGGGACGCGTGCCTCTCACTCGCTCTCATCGTAAGCGCATAACGTGAGCGGAGCGTAACGCAGTTTCTTGAAGTGTCACCCGGCAAACCAATTTATAAGACGTTGTCACGTCAAAAAAAAACAAAACAAAAAGAAAAAACAGGAATTATTAAGGAACAATTACGCTTTGAATCCAATCTTTATATTGGTAGATGTTACTGTATATTCCTGGTACGCCTTCTATTCCACATTTTAGGTTTCCAAAGCTAACGACGCCGGCAAGTTCGAAATATTCGCCGCCATTTTCGTACATCAATGGTCCCCCAGAATCACCTTTGCACGTATCAACGCCTTTCTCACCACCAGCACATATTTGCTTCTCCCATAGTTTTATTAGTTTTTTAGATTCGTAAATATTCTTGCATCGCTGAAATAAAAAAAAAATTAAACTAGCTGTCTTGGTTACGCACAAAAAGTTGAATGTCCTTTTTTACTGTCCCCGTATGAATTTAAGGATCTAGGTCCTCTTTTAGCATTACCCTATACTCCTCAATGAACATATTTGCCAAGTTTCAGCTTCCTAGGTTCAGTAGTTTCAGCTGTGCGTTGTCTGTCAGTCAGTCACTTAGTCACGGAAGAGTAGGACACCGTGAAATCACTCACTCACTTTAAAAGTTCGAATTGACGGTTACAAAATACTAAATAGCCTAGCAGGCAGCAAGGGTTAAAATTCCAATTACTAAGGCCCAACAAAAAACTAAGAAAGCTTAGTATAATCGCTCTGATATAAATTGTTATTACATAGTTTTGATACTCAACTTACTTCTAATGGCATATATGGTACCTTCACTTGAAGTTTGACGTCACTAAACGTTTTATTTTCAGTTGCACCCCATCCAACAACGATCATGGAAAAGAAGTCGTTTCTATTTTTTGCTAAATTGATGTCCTTAGTTGGCATACAGATGGGCCGGATGAAATCTAGAACAAAAATAATTCGTAAATCTCAATTTAAGTACTACATAGTTACAGAATTCGGTACTGTAGCTATGACCTTGCTGATTGAAGCTGGAGTAGGAACTGGGTTAGTTTTTAGTCAGTAAGAGTCTGACACTCTCTCTCGCCTCCCCCAGGGTGGCAGAAGACATTGAATGATTTTCCCCCAAGAAATAAAGAAACCTATGGTAACTGTTTTCCATCAGGCGAACCGCAAACTTGCTTGCCACCTTAAGCTGTATTGAAAGATTGCCCCACCTAACATAACATAACATAACATCACGCCTTTTTATACCCGAAGGGGTAGGCAGAGGTGCACACAGAAGTAACACCCTCTTTTCACTATTTATGTTTTGAGTCCTATGTAATAGGGGGTGAGCCTATTGCCATATATCGGGCACATATCCAGACTCCGTGCTACTACTGAGATTTTTTTTAAATATCAGTAGTTCTTTTCCCGACCCGGGAATCGAACCCGAGACCCCTTGCCCGGCAGTCGCACTTGCGACCACTCGGCCAACGAGGCAGACCTATTTTGATCATTATAAATTTGATAATAACCCCCCTCAAAAAAAGGTAGTTACGTTGTGATGAGTATGTTGACAATGTACCACGATAAGTAACAGAATAAAATGAAAAGAATTGTACCGTTCAGATCAAGCGACGGCGAAAGAAAACATCGGAAGGAAACTTGGACTAACTTCAAATTATAAGATTGAAATCACCAATCTCCTTTGAGAAAGCGTGGTAATCAATGCTCATTCTTCCTTTGTGCGAGAAAGAGATCTTTACTTCGCTTTAGGCTAATGCTGATGACCCAGTGTCAGACTGCGCCAGACAATCCACAAACAGAGAGAGATGGCGGGAGATCGTGAGGAAAGCAGTATCGGCCTCCAACACAAATACAGCCGCCTCAACGTGACCACGACCGCTCTGCCAAGAGCGAGATGATGAATTTTATGACTAGAGGACTGATGATATTTTTGGAAGTTAAATATATCTAAGGGTTTTTTTTAAGGGGAAAAATCATCGAATGACTGCTCCCGCCTGGGTGAGGCGGGAGAGAGTGTCAGAATCTTACTGACTAAAAACCACCCCGTTCCTTCTCCTGCACGTCGAGCCGGGGCTCCGGTTACCCGATACCTAAGGGTATGTCCACATCAGTCTGGCGAATGCTCCGTAAATGCGCAGCTTGCTAGCCGCTCGTAAGCCAACCGCGAGCTGTGCGCGTGCATTTATAATAGGAATGATGACAGGGTATGAAAATTAAAAATGTAATTAGTCCGTCAGTTAGGTAATGAAAAAATATTAGACGCGTATTTTTTTATTTTGTTGTATAATAAAATTATACTTAAGTAGATATAACGAATCTAAGTTTAGGAGTGGGAGCTAAAACGTCATTTCTAAGTATAAAATGTACATAGAAGTGACGTCACGTGACATTTCAAATTAATATAATTATCTTCGAAACTATTCGTTTCCGTAAAAAATAAAAATACGTGGCTAATGTTTTTAAATATTCTACCAGACGGACATTAAAATAAAAATTAGTCATCTACCCTAATAAGAACCGTGATTGCACGCGCGCAGCGGGCAGCGGGCGAGCGGCACATTTGCGGCGCATACGCTAGATGTTGAGTGGACCCTGAGAGTTTATTAATAATATATTCTAACCTGAATAAGGTGCCATCTCCTTCAACCTAATCAAGGCAATATCATTCCATTTTACGTTATCGAAGAATTCGTACTGTGGATGAGGAATAATTTTCTCGATTTCTATTCTTGTTACACCTTCAGTACAGTCCTGCCCACCTCCTTCTACTAATTTGCAATCAGGACCTTTGTTGGTTATGTTGTACTCTCCCAGACGGATAACCTTTCTGAAAAATGTATGTTGAATACTTTAGTTTCATTACATCAAGTGTAGGAGAGCCATGCTTCGGCACAAATAGGCTGATTTGATTGGAGTGATGATATCGAGGCCTCACAGAAAAACGACATGAAACAACACTTGCTTGTTGTAAGTGAAGTCATTGGAGGTCGAATTTATTGAAAAGAGGTAAAGTTATATGTCGTGGTGGCCCGGAGGTTTAAGACGCCCGCTTCTCATGCATGAGGGTGCGGGTTCGAAACCTACTAACGGCAAGTACCAATGTGACTTATTCCGAGTTATATGTACTTTCTAAGATTATTTAGACACCACTGACAAACGGTGAAAGAAAAACATCGTGAGGAAACCTGGACTTATAATTTCTGATTATAAGTTTGAAATCGCTAACCCGCATTGAGCAAGCGTAGTGATTAATGCTCAAACCTTCTCCGTGTGAGAAGAGGCTTTGCTCAGCAGTGGGCATTTATAGGCTGTTGATGATGATGATAAAAGTTATAGGTGTCTTTATAAATCAAAGTTAATTTCTAAACATGACCACAGGTGGCGTTTTGGTTCTCTTTCTCATTCCTTTTTCGTTCCTCCATTTTGTTTTATATTAGCTGTTGTTTTTCTATTATAATAAAAGTGTTGAAAGAAATCTTATTCAAATTGATTGAAACCTGAATAGAATTACTATCCCAAACTCTCGAATCCCCAGTCCTCAAATTCTTAGCCCAAAAAGCGCCACTAACGCCTCTGGTGTTTCGAGTGTTCATGGGCGGCGCTGATTGCTTACCATCAGGTGATCGGTCAGCTCGAATACCGGCTTATACTATAAAATATCTTACGGTGTTCCTATGTCCAGTATGGCACCCGCAACACAATGGGCAGCAGTGACGATATATCTTCCGCTGATTAATACTCCACCACAAATCTGACCTCCACGTTTAGTCTCATATTCTATCAGTGCCGTCCATGGATATTGATCTATTCCCGTTCCATCTGTAAAATATAACCACTAGTTAAATTCAATACCTTTATCTTACAACACATCAACTGCCTATAAGTGCCCTAATGACCTCTTCTCATACGAAGAAGGCATCAGCATTTATCACTACGCATGTTTAAGGCGGATTGGCGATTGTAAACTTATTTTTTATGGGATAAACCGGTAAACGAGCAGGCGGATCGCCTGATGATAAGCAATCGGCGTCGCCCATGGACATCTGGCACCAGAGGCGTTACAAGTGTGTTACCGGCCTTTTGGAATTAGAAATTTGAGGATCTTTGGGGATTCAGGGTTTGGGAAAGGGGGAAAGGGTAATTGGGCCTCCGGTAACCTCACTCACACGACGAAACACAACGCAAGCGTTGTTTCACATCCGTCTTCTGTGAGGCCGTGGTATCACTCTCGGTGAAGCATGGGATTCAGCACGAATGGGCCGGCTCGACTGCTGCCGCTCATGAATATGAGCCTCTAGTATGGCTTGAAACTAGTCGAGTTCCTCGTCAAACAGTTACGTAAGTAAGCCGAAAACATAATAATTAATTAATATGTCTTACGAAAGTTTTAATATAAATACGTGTCTAATGATTTTAAATAATCTACCATTCAAATAAGAATTAGACATCTTGTCTATCTACACAAATAAAAAAAGGAATGTATGTTTGTTATATTGAAATACTCGTTTTTTACTGTATGTATATAGGAGAGGCCTTTGTTCATCAGGTGTCTTACGGCTGTTTTTTTTTTTAAACGTTGCCCCACACTAGGATTTTCTCCTGTGTCGTGGGTGCGTTTACAAACATACAAGTTCACATACACAAAGACACCCAGACCCGAAACAACAATTTGTGGATCACACAAAGTGTTGTCCCGTGCGGGAATTGAACCCGCGACACGTTGCACGGCAGCCGGTTGCCCAGCCACCGCACCAACCGTGCAGTCAGTTGTTGACGATGATATGAATATACATACCAAAATAACACTTTTCACTTTGTCTGTCTGTCTGTTTGTACTGGCTAATCTCTGAAATGGCTTGACCAAATTTAACGTGACTTGGCAGGTAGCTCATGTATTGAGGAGTAACATGGCTACTTTTATTTTAGAAAAAATGCAGACCAATTTTATGTTTAGCTAGTGGTATATAATATAAGACTAACCTGCTCCTACGATTTTATTGCTGGCATCAGCTGAGATACCACAGCAACCAGTACTGGGATCAGGTGGATAAGCAGTCATATGCGGTTGGCACTCTTTGTTCTCATCACGTGTTCTGGAGTCAATAATATCATCATCTGGACTAACGGGGGATGATCTACAGCAAACGTTGTATTTGTGGGGGCCTTTACATCTGCAAATATAACACTAATATTATTAATGGGAAAGTTTTTTTGTTTAGATGTTTGTGGGTCCGACTGTCAATCATGCTGAAAGTACTGACTGGATTTTTATTAAATTTGATATAGCGACAGATGACAGGGTATCGGCTGAGTCACGAGATAAGATACCTTTTATCCCGATTAAATGCTCCCTTGTGATAATATAGGAATATGCGGGCAAAGAAGTGAGAGAGCTACTCGCGTTTACTCTTGAAACTATTTTCAAAGTCAATTCAGTTTCAATCCCATGTAATCTCAGTTTTTTTATGGTATAAGCCGGTAAACGAGCAGACGGTTCACCTGATGGTAAACAATCGGCGCTGCCCATGAACAGCCGAAACAGCGGAGGTATTACAAGTGCATTACCGGCCTTTTGGGAAATAGGAATTTGTTGGGGATTCGGGTATTGGGGAGTATGGGGAGGGGAGTAATTGTCCTCCGGTAACCTCACTAACGGGACAAAATATAACGCAACTGTTGTTTCACGTCGGTTTTTTGAGAAGCCGTGGTATCACTGCGATCGAGCTGGCCCTTTCGTGCCGAAACATGGTTCGATCAAATGTCAGTTTTCATCCCAAGTATCCCACGAAAACGGGAACTGCGTATAATTTGAGTGGAATACGGTACGACGATAGTTTGAGACTCGGAAAATGACGCCTGATTGGAAATCAAATTGAATTTTAATCACTGAGTCCTTGCGGGAATGGATACTATACGGGTAAAATCCCTGTGATATTATTCTCCCGCGGTATCACTCCGATCGAGCCGGCCCATTCTTCATAATAAATTATTCAGAGTCAACACTATACAACCCAAAACTTAACAATAATTGTTAATGCTACTTACGCAGAATTCTTCGCGAATTCCATATTTCGTTCAGACATAGGTGGTCTGAACAGATTTGAGATTTGTGGACACGAGTGAATGTCTATACATCTTCCAGGCTTCCCATTAGGGGTGGTGCACACAGAAGCGTTCCCTGGATGAGGAGGAGGAGATTTAGGTGGTTCTGATCCATATTGTTTAGCACACCATACCTGGAAATATGTATAAGGAAAGCACGATAAATTGTGCACATTTTTAAATAACAACACTTCATCAATTTATACATTTAATTATATTCATATTCATATTTGCATTCCATAATGTTTCTTAAGATGTTACATTGGCTTAAATACACAGGACAATACAAAGTTTAAATTTCAGAATTCCATTCAATTAATAACACATTGCCATAATGTTTTATGCGAAACGGTTTTAATGAGCTGTTCTATCAATTAAACCCTCGTTTGATATCCATAAAGGAGTTTTAAAAAAGATCATAATTTAGGAATGGGATAAAATTCAGATTACTAAAGACTCAAACACATAAGTAAATATACCGATCAAGCTGAATAAAACCGTTTTAAAAGAATAAAAGCTGTCGAAAATCTACAAACCACGGCTAAACATGTGACTCCGATCACGATCCCAAGAATCATCAATTTCTGTGATAAAGTAGCCTTTTTTAAAATAAATTTGCACATCCTCCTTGCAGAACCACTCGTTTCAAATGTCACGTGTCCACTGACCATACGAATGGAAAAAACCGGTATTTATTAAAATTATGCATAACAAGGAAAACAAAACTAAATAAATAACGTTATAAACTGGTATAAATTTATACCAAAAATGTTTATAACAAGTTGTTCGTTTGTACTTTATCAGCTGTTCCTCGCGACTTCGTCCGCGTATAATAATGACTTCTGACAAATTTTGGATATTTTTTCAAGTCTTTTCCAAGGGTAATTCCACTGCTGTATTCCAAATCTTATCAGAATCAATTCGGTTACATTTATTGTGAAATGTTGTTAATTTACGTGATTTAAAAAATAAAAAATCCCACAGAGATTTTACCCGTATAGTATCCATTCCCGCAAGGATTCAGTGATTAAAATTCAATTTGATTTGTAATCAGGCGTCATTTTCTGTGTCTCAAACTATCGTCGTACCGAATTCCAATCTAATAAGTTTAATAGTTTAAAAAATAGAGAGACTAAGAAATTTAACGCAGTTCCCGTTTTCGTGGGATATTTGGGATGGAAACTGACATTTGATCTAACCATGATTCGGCATGAGAGGGCCGGCCCGACTAGTCATACCACGGCCTCATAGAAAACCGACGTGAAATAATGCTATCGTTGTGTTTCGTCTTGTGAGTGAGGTTACCGGAGGCCCAATTCTCCCCCCCGTCCTTCCCCAATCCCTTAATCCCCAACAACCCTCAAATTCCTAATCGCAAAAAGTCAGAAACGCACTTGTAACGCCTCTAGTGTTCCAGATGTCCATGTGCCACGCTGATTCCTTAATCTGCTAGTTTACCGGCTTATCCCATAAAAAAGAGATGGTTTAAAGGTTGGTGGTAAAAATGGTCATAAGACTTATTTGAAATGGAATAGTGTGCCTATGTATGTATAAGCATAGAATAGTGTTCGACGTGATTATTTAATTTGACATAACTTTTTTATTTATGAACCGATTGACATGAAACAAACACTAAAGCATAACTGAAGCATACCACAATATATTCGTGAAAACCGCATCCAACTCGGATCAGCCGTTTCTGAGATTAGCGTGAACAGACAAACAGACAAACAGACAAAAAAAAAGTTAATTATATTTTTGGGTTCGACATCGACATAACAATAACCCCTGCTATTTTTTTTTTATTTTTATTTTCAATGTACAGACAGCACTTTTCTACAATTTTATTATATGTATAGATTTATTCTTCGCAAGTAAAGTCGGATCTAAAATCTATATTTTCGCCTGTTCCTAACGAATTTTATGACGCATGCACCGAGCAGGAAAACATCGAATCATCGAAAATAATACTTGGATTCTCCTTAATTTGTTATTGTATCTTGTTCTTAATTGTTCGTTTTTCCTGACCCAAAATGTATTTTTAAAGGTTTTCGCATTAGATTATACTTTTTCACGGAAATGTTGAAGTAATGGTACCGTAAGACGAATATTTTGTTCATGGTATTATGGTTAATAAACTGCTATTATGTGATTTGCTAAAACTTGCCAAGTACAATAAAAACTGCTTAGCAATGTGCGTACGTATTTATAACAAAATATAAAGTCGGTTTAACGTAATGAACACAAGGAGATTTTAAGGGCTCGTACACAAAACTGTGATGTGACATCGCATCGCAAAAATGTGCGAGCTCCCTCTACGCATCGCAAGAACTTGCGGATTGATTCGCATCGCACATCAAAATCTTATCTTACCAAAATCTTCTTTGTTTCTTTTTCCTGTATCTCCTAAGCAATAACAGAGTGCACACTTACTTTTACGATCCATGCCACGACCTAATTTTCAATTTAAAATACGTTTAGTACGGTTGACGGTCGTCGATGGAATGGTCACCCTGGGCGACGCGTTGTCGCCCGAAATCGCAAAGCAGCAATTCGCATCGTAATTTTCTGCGTTGCGAATTCGCATCGCATCGCAGTTTTGTTTCTAAGATCGAATTAACATATAACATCACGCCTTTTTTATCCCCGAAGGGGTAGGCAGAGGTGCACATTATACCACTGTACAATGTAACACCCACTTTTCACTATTTATGTTATGAGTCCCATGTAATAGGGGGTGAGCCTATTGCCATATACCGGGCACAATTCCAGACTCCGTGCTACTACTGAGAATATTTAAAAACCCAGTAATACTTTGCCCGACCCGGGAATCGAACCCGAGACCCCTTGTCCGGCAGTCGCACTTACGACCACTCGGCCAACGAGGCAGTAAGATCGAATTATTCAAGTGGCACAATTAATGTAATTTTTACAGTTTAACACGGTGAACGTCATGGGGGTCACCGGTGACCGGCGTTAGCGGAGGATTTACCTTCAACAGTTTTTTATTGGCAGTCAAAATCTTAAGTGATTTTATGAATGTGATTATGTTAATTGCTTGCTCGTTTCTGTCAAAATAACAAATTTTGGCATGCGATGTTTTTATCTTAGCGAAATAGGTTGAGCTATTGTTATACTGTGTGAATCGAGTGAATCATAAGTAGGCAGACGATATGATTTAACAATAGATCCTCGCTGACTTCCAACATGTTTAGCAATATGATGATGTCATGCCACGTGCCAAATGGTACCTAGTGGAAACGAGGTTTTTATGTCCACTTTAGGTAGGATATAATAAATATTCTAATAGTTAAGTCCAAATAAATTATTCGAAATGTATTATCGACTTCAGGGACATTCTATTCACCTACAGGATGTGAATAGATAAACAGATTTTACATATTTCTTTATGAGATAAATCGACAAGCGAGCGGACGATCATCTACATAATTATAGATGTACCTTTAGGCGTAATTCATTCTGTCACCTTCAGTAAATCACTGATGGAAACGGAAACTATTGTTTATTTCTTCTCCTCTTTCTGATTCACTTCGTTGCGAGTACCAAGATAGATATTCATGTCCCTGGCACGCGCCGGACTTCAGTGTTCCGGTGTTTTCATGATTGTATCTACTGTAGATCCTGGCTTACAGGAATTGCAGCGGTTTCGGGAGGTTGTGGCGGGTTTGTCCCATTAAAAATAAATTATATTGTTTATATAGACCTTTAAACATTGCATAATCAGTTTAATTTAGCTAGAAATCACCACAGACAAGTTGACGAAGCTACGAAGTAATGTAGGTGCCTGTAATAGTGTTTTTTCTAATTAAAATATGTAAATTATAATTACCGAAATGTTAAGTAGTTAGATGTTTTTGCATCTGATATGCAAATGAAATGCATTTGTAATTGTAAACTTGTATTTAGACTATTCGAAATGCAATGTTTTAAATTAGGGTTAAGGAAACATTTTATAATTTACAGAGCCGAATTTGTGAAAAATATATTAAAAGTATGTACGAGTCTTTTTATGTTGATAAAGGTTTTATTTCTAAGGGGGGATAATCATTGAATGATTTCTCCCGCCTAGGTGAGGCGGGAGGGAGTGTCAGACTCTTACTGACTAAAAACCACCCCGTTTCTTCTCCTGCACGTTGAGCTGGAGCCCCGGTTACCCGTTAGGTTCTCCGCGGCTCCGTATCGACATCAGCCCTATTGAGCCCCATCCGTGGTGGTCTGATGGCTCTTTGAGGCGCGCGCGGAACGCAACGCGCCGTACGCTCGAATGTTAATGAAGGTTAGAGCATTTTTTGATTTTACTTATAATATGTAACTGCATTTATTGTATTGGGTATGCCTGTGATGATAAATGTGATTTAAATATAAATAAATAATAATAAATGTTTAACGGACTCGAAACGAAACCGCGTTCGGCACTCTGATTGGCCGGCTGTAATGAGCCAACCAATTAGAGCTCCGGAGGCGGTCTCGTTTTTATTATTTTAAACGTAAAACGAACTCTTATTAAGGCCTCCGGTTTATCGAATGGTCGTCAGTGCGACTGCCGAGCAAAGGGTTCCCGACTCTAGCTAACGATTATAATAAATGTAGTGCTTTTTTTGTGTTTATCTAAACATATTTTTCTCACTACACATTTCTCGTCTTTTGACATGGAAATCATAATATTTTATTTTTTTACGTACAACATAACATAACATAACATCACGCCTTTTATCCTCGAAGGGGTAGGCAAAGGTGCACATAGGAGTAACACCCACTTTTCACTATTTATGTTATGCGACCCATGTAATAGGGGGTAAGCCTATTGCCATATACCGGGCACATTTACAGACTCCGTGCTACTACTGAGATTTTTTAAAAACGCAGTAATACTTTGCCCGACCCAGGCATCGAACCCGAGACCCCTTGTCCGGCAGTCGCACTTGCGACCAGTCAGCCAACGAGGCAGTCATGTACATGATAACTGCAAAAGATTATAAATACCTACGTAAAATTCAAACATTATAATCTATAAATATACAGTTTTGCTTAAAGCTATATAATTCACAATATAAAGTGCCTGAGCTAGAACATCCTGTGTTTCGTGCATTTAGGTAAACATAATAAACATTGTTATATAGAGGTATATAACCATAAGTACTTAAATGTTAATAATTTAAGGTAAATTATGACAATATTTAGCTATATTTAGGTATATTGATATAATATATTTAAATTGTATGCTTAATACGCATATAAGGATATGTAGTATATAAATTAGGAGTTTAGTATAATTATTATAATAATAATAATAATACGTTTATTTGTTAGAATATTGTTACAAAGGTGTTACAAATAAATTAATGTTCTGAATATTCTGCTGTTTCCAGCGTACAAATATTAAAAGTTAGAATTAAAATAAGACAGGTAAAAACATACAATCAAAAATAAAAAATTGCATAATATGGACGATTAGTTATCACAATGTAGTAAAATTATTTTCGGTACAAAATTAAGATTATTCTTACAATTTATTTGAAGGATAATAAAAAGTCGTCTAGGTTGAATTTAGAGTTAAATTTTTCATTCAAAAAATCATTTGTTGAATAATAACATTTATGCAATAGAAAACAAAACAGCTTCTTTTTAAATTCTATAAGATTAAGGCTTT